TAATCCTCACCTTTGAAGAACATATTCACAGAACACATTTTTTCATTCCATAAGTCTATGTTTCTCAACATTTGAAGAAAGAACTCTTGTTACATAAGTAACAAGATTGCCTTGTTACAAGAGTCCTAGAAACAGAGTGGGCTTGTTATTGTGAAAGTAGAATCTGTCATTGCTTTGGTTTATAAGAAAGATAATAGGGCTGGGAAGGTGGCTCAGTGGTAGAGTGCTTACCTTGCATGCATGAGGCCCTGGGTTCGAATACTCAGAACCACATAAGCAGAGAAAGCCGGAAGTGGGGCTGAGGCTCAAGTGGTAGAGCGCTAGTCTACAGCTGAAGAGCTGAGGCCCAGAGTTCAGGCCCCACGACCGACAAAAAAAAAAAGAAAGAAAGATAATAAAAATATTTAAATGCTGCTCCATAGTACTAAATCAATACAAAGGGGGAGAAAAAATCACACTTTAATCACTATTAGTGGCAGAAGTTAGTATCAATGAAGGCAATTAAATGAATTAAAGGATCTTCCGAGATTACTCAACTTACCAAACGCTGCTGTTGGGAGCAGGCAGAGGGCTGGTTTTCAGTAGTCCCATGAATAATGGGGGTGCCCCACGGAAGTGAATGACACCAGCCCGTGGACATGTCAGGGGAGCAGGTCTGTCCTCTTCTCCCATGGCCAACACCAACTCCAAACAGAGACACTTGGCGGATACAGGAGATAACAAACCTACCTTTCTCTTATCATCTGAGTCTTTCTCTTTCCTTCTCACCTTCATTTCTCATTTTCTGTGCTCGGATCGGAGCAGCAGGCAGTGTGTCAATCTCATGATCTTACTTTTTCAATCTGCTTTTCTGAGGTACCTGAAGCTGGACCTGCATAAGACAGGGTATTAGCAAAATCAACACGCCTTTCAGAACTGAACATGGGGGGAATCCCAGGGGCATGCACCGTCATGACTTTGACCACCACACTACCCACCCACAACTCACCCTGGGGGTCTCCATCCAGGCTCCACTGATGTAGCGGGAGGAACGAAACACAATTGCATTTCTTGATGAAATGCTACCTCTTTCAGAGAACTGCCTATGTGCAAACTGGCACTGAGAGACCACGCATTTTCAGCCACTGACCTGGGCTGGCCTAGCTGTCTTTGGGGCCCCGCAGGGGTCCCTCTCAGGCAGAATTCCTGCGTCTTATTGAGGAAGTCAGTCCAGCGTGCAGAGAATACCCAAGCCCCCCTCTTTCTCCTCCTCCCTGAGGGATGCCTTTCCTCCTTCCTCCACTGGGTGGGGACAGGAATCTCTGAGCCCTTACCTCTCTTCTTGTCCTATTTCGCTTCCTCGCCACCAACCTGTGGGACCACTTAATGCCCTCCACACTTCAAATCTGCCTTAAAAATGAATGGATCAATTTCCAATTTGAGTAGACAGGTGGATAGAAGTACGGATTCTAACATTGGGAAGAGGATCTTGAACACACATCTGAGATTCAACCATCTATCTAGCTCCTCCTGAAATGCCAGCTACCTCTGATTTTTTTTTCAACAATGACATGAGGCATTTCTGGGAGTTTCCATTCAAGGTAAACCTTTTAGATTCCTAGTTTCTAGTCTTTGGCTGTCAGGAACCTAAATAGGGTAGTAACTTTTTCTCTGAGCTAATAAATACTTTGTTGGTGGTGGTGGTGGTGGGGCTTGAAGTCAGGTCCTAGGTGCTATCCTTGAGCTCTTTTCAAGGCTAGTGCTCTGCCACTTGAGCTACAGCTCCACTTCTGGTTTTTAGATGGTTAATGGGAGATAGGAGTCTCACGGACTTTCCTGCCTGGGCTGGCTTTGAACCATGATTCTCAGATCTCAGCTTCCTACATAGCTAGGATTATAGGCATGAGGCACCAGCACCTGTCTCAAATAAATACATTTTTTAAATGCATTAATTAAAAGAGGGAAAATTGGCCACCTACAATCTACAGTGAGCATAATTTCACTTTCAAAGGACATTCTAAACTGTCAAAAAGCTATAACATTGGCATAAAAGGCAGGCAAAAGTTTTAATGCCAGAATAACAGGCAGGCCTTTCAACTGAGATTTGGCTTTCTTAAAAAAAAAATCTCACTATTTTTGCTTGTGTCCATTATTCCATAAAGACAAGCATCACCAGCCTGGAGTTTAGCAACAACAGAAAGTGAAGAGCCGCCTAAGGCTGCGTGACCTCTGACAGCTCCCCCAACCCCAGCCCTAGTCCCCTGGGTGCAGCTTGCAAAGAAGCTGATAGGAGGTGGGGATGGGGCCAGCCCGCTCTACGCTTGTTCACACCATGGAGGACCTGGTGTGAGCAGAGATGTGACCATCAGCCATTGCAATAGAAAACAGCTACAAAAAGCAGAGACTAGGCAAGAGTCCCAGATCTCCTACAAAGCACACACATGGCAAATTAAAAGCAAAATGCCCTGTGAATACAGTTGAATGCAAAATGCTAGGCAGAGCAGCCGTGTAGTAAGCAGAAGCTTACTGAATGCTGGCCAGGAGGAAGAAGGCAAGTGGTTCTAACCTCTTTGGAAAAACAGCTGCTCTCAATTCTCTAACTGTCCTTCCCACGGGGTCCAAAGAGGCATCTCCTGAAGGACCACCAAGCTTTTCATGGGGTACAGGCCCCCCCAAATAAGCTCCAGGCAGACTCGCAACTCTGGAATGCATGCAGTCGCAAAGCCCGGCATTTCCAACTGGAACAATTACTCTGACATTCGGTTCCTTACCCAGCTTCCACAGATCCACTGCTAAACCATTGGTGTTCAAGGTGTAATCATTGGCCCACAGCAGTGGGGTACACGCAGGAATGTGTTAGACAGGAGGAATCGCAGGGCCCACACACACCAGAGCTGATGAGCCAGCAGCTGATGGTAGCTGGGCGCTTGCTCCCTGCGCCTTGAAGGCACATACATGTGTTTAAAGTACTATTCTGAACAGTATGAACTTCCAGGAGCTAGAGTCCACGTTTCCAGAGCAAGGGGTGGAAGAATAGAGAGCCATCTCTTAACATATGCACTGTTTTAAAACTCGTTTTCTTCTGCTCCCCGGCCCTCAAGAATAATCGGGTCCTTGGGGGCTGGGAAAGTGGCTCAGTGGTAGAGCGCCTGCCTTGCATGCTTGAAGCCCTGGGTTCAACACCTCAGCACCATATAAGCAGAAAAAGCCAGAAGTAGCACTGTGGCTCAAGTGGTAGAGCACTAGCCTTAAGCTGAAGAGCTAAGGGACAGAGTCTAGGCCCAGAGTTCAGGCCCCATGACCGACAAAAAAAAAAAAAGAATGTTTTGTAATCTGCTATCCCTGTAGCCAGAGAGAGAGAGAGGGAGGAAGGGAGGGAGAGAAGAAGGAAGGAAGGAAGGAAGGAAGGAAGGAAGGAAGGAAGGAAGGAAGGAAGGAAGGAAGGAAGGAAGGAAGGAAGGAAAACTATTAGTAATGAATTATTATCTAAACCAAGGTCATAAAGATTTTTTTTGTGGGGGGGGGGCGGGGGGGGGGTCTGGTCGTGGGGCTTGAACTCTGGGCCTGGGTGCTGTCCCTCAGCTCTTCAGCTCAAGGCTAACGCCCTACCACAGCGCCACTTCTGGCTTTTTTTCTCTGCTTATGTGGTGCTGAGGAATCGAACCAGGGCCTCATGCATGCAAGGCAAGCGCTCTACTACTGAGCCACCTTCCCAGTCCATAAAGATTTATATCTATATTTTTTCCCAAGAATTTTATAGCTTTACATTTAAGTCCTCAGTCAGTACATTTGGATTTCATTTTTGTATATGGTATGAGGTAGGATGCAATATTATTCTTTTGCATATGGATATTCAGTTATCAAACACTATTTGTTTAAAAAGATCATTTTTCCTCCCACTTTAAGTTGTCTTGCATAAATCATTTGGTCAGAACTGGGGATGCAGCTCAGTGGTAGAGGCCTTGTCTAGCATGCATAAATAAGGCCCAGACATTCAGATTCTGGGTTCAACTTTAAGAACCATAATATATAGTTATACTATATAGTAATATACAATATATAATATATACATGTGTGGATGCATAAAAATTAGAATACATGTAGTTGTGAGTTTGTGTGTGTGTGTGTGTGTGTGTGTGTGTGTGTGTGTGTGTGTTGTGTCAGTCGTGGTACCTGAACTCTGAGCCTGGGAGCTGTCCCTCAGCTCTTCAGCTCAAGGCTAGCACTCTACCACTTGTGCCACAGCGCCACTTCCAGCTTTTTCTGCTTTGAGGTGCTGAGGAATCGAACCCAGGGCCCCATGCATGCAAGGCAAGCACTCTACCACTGAGCCACCTTCCCAGCCCACATGTATTTAGTTATATGTATGTATATACATTTACTTATGCAGCTTCCTTTTGCTATAGTGCTACAGAGAAGAACAACAGGAGCGGGATGGACTTAAGCTTCTTTCTGAAGATATATAGATAGATACAAATATATATGTATCTAATTCAGACATATCATTCCAGTTCTGTGCTAGGCAGGAGATTTACTGGAAGTGGGATTGCATGCTCAATTAAGGAGAACACATAATAAAACAAAAGAAAATAAGAAGCTACATAATATACCAAGAAAAGAGAGCCTGCATGCCTGGGTTCGCTGCATGAGGAGCAGATCCTCCACACAGGCCGGTTTGGGAGAGCCGCTACACTCTGAGTTTCTCTCTGCCAGCGATCGGCACTTGTCACGGGCTTTCCTCTACCAACAGATGCCTAAGGGAATGAGAGGCAGCCCAAAGCCACTGTTTGCTCATCCTCCTTCTTGAGTAAAACTGGAATGGCAAAGTATCGCTGGTGGTAGGTGAGCAGAGACTAGTGATTCATTCCTGGTGAAACTTTGGGCCGAATTCCAGAAGGCAGTGTACTTTCAGGCGGGGTGGGAAGAGGATTTGCATGTCTGACATCACCCAGAAGCTCCAGCCCCGGAGCATATAAACAGAAGGAGAGCAGGGCCTCCACGGTTACCTGTTCCAGGCCCAGGTGACCTAAGCAAAAGCCAAACCATGGCGGTGCTCTGTGCCATGTTGCCAGGGCTGGGACTGTTCCTGTACCTGGGACTCCACTTCTCTTCTGCCACCGAACCCCCCCCCTTCCTCCTCCCAAACAACAAACTGAACTGCCTGAACTTTAGCATGGTCCTCAACACCACTCATCCGAACATCAGGGTTGAAAAAGAAGAGCAGTCAAACTTCCACATCTACACAGGTGAGTAGCGGCCAGGCTGTCAGCCAGCCCCAAGGTCTCCTAGCAGAGCTAACTGAAACTCCATCCCTCCCCTAGCTACACCAAATAAGCTATCTCTGAAGCAGGTAGGAGATGGGAAGTCGGTGTGTGGGGACGCTTTCTGTCTGTTTCCCCCATGCACACTTGAACCTCGGGAAGCATAAAGTTCCCGTGGTCAGATTATCTGAACCCCAATGAGAGCACAGCTGGAGGAGGAGGAAGAGGAGGAGGAAGAAAGGGCGGGGCATTGGATTCCTGGAGGATAGGAATTGCACCAGAGCAGAGTATAGTCTCTTCCCACCCGCTGCACAGAACAGTTCCACTGTGGGTGGCGGCAAGCACAGGGCCCTCTCTAGAAGGAACTATTTGCATTTAATCTATGGGTGAAAAAGGTTGTCACCTTTTCTAAGAAATTCCACGACTTGTTCGGGGACTTAGTGCTAGTAAAGGAGCCTGGGGTCAATGCTCACTCAGGCTCTTAAATCTGTCTTTACATTACTGTATGTGTGTGTGTGTGTGTGTGTGTGTGTGTGTGTGTGTGTGTATACATATATATATATGTATATACACATATATACACACATATACATATATAGGTATATATATATACACACCTGCATGCTAGTGCACATGCATGCCTGTACTGGGGCTTGAACTCAAGGCCTCACCCTCTCCCTTAGCCTCTTTACTCAAGCTCTTCCACTTGAACCATAGCTCCCCTTCTGGTCTTCATGAGGGGTAATCAGAGATGAATCTCATGGAATTTCCTGTCCAGGCTGGCTCTGAACCTCCATCCTCGGATCTCAACCTCCTGAGTAGCTAGGATTACAGACATTGAGCCGCCAGCTCCCCAGCTCGTTCGTAATCTAATGTTTTTCTTAGAAGTTTCTGGAACACATTGTATAAATACCCTTTGGGGTCAGCCAAACCTACCTGTCAAGAAATAAGCTGATTGATTTTATAAGAGCAGCAGCGTCTTGAATGCTTGCTTATAAGTGCATTTAGGCCTCCTATTAATCTACTAGGCAGATCCCACTATCTTTCACGTCTTGGAGATGAGAAAATGGCACAGAGGCTAAGTGACTGTACTCAGTCACAGAGCTCTGGGAGAGGTGACACGGGAGGTGTCCCAGATTTCCAGCCTCAGAGACCCAGCCCTGGCCCTCTGTACATCTCACCACCAGCATAAAGGCAGCAGCCACTCCCAACTACAGGCTGGAAACTGATCGAGGGGCAAACACCACTCTCCTCCCAGTTTCCCATTGAGAACGGAGGCGTGTATAAGGTGAAGTCTTCCCCAAGGTCACTAGACTAGAACAGAGCTCATATCTGACCCTAAGTCACACAGCCTAGGTTGATCCTACTTCTTATCTTACCTCTAACTGCCATCCCACCTCTCTCAAAAGTCTAACCGATCTTGCGGAGACCACCAGAGCCATCGCCATACCCTGGGCTATGGATTCGGCATGCCGCTGGTCAGAGGTCGTGGTATGCCTGCACACTCTCAGCCTGCTTCTCTTCTTTCTTCCTTTTCCCTGGGGGCTGCCAGTGAAGGCCCTGATGTAAGAAAACACATCCTGAGGCGGAAGCCTGCCCGTGCTACGCGTGCGCGTGCTTCATCAGATCCCATTTCACAACTGAAAACTGGGAGGCTGTCTGCGGGAATCTGCCGCACCTTAGGAATGAGTTCCATGGAGGGTGCAAATCGTCTGCCCGGGGGGACGAGGAGATCTGGGTATCACACACACAGGTACACAGCAGGCTCCACGAACGCTCCATTGCCAGCATTCAGGCCTTTGGGAGATGCTCACCAAGCCAACCACTTCTCCTTATGTTGGCTTTGAAATTCTTTTCCATTTCAACGTTGTATTGACATCGGTAAATCATGTGTGTAATAGCTTAGCAGATCCCAGAGAGCGCTGCAGCCGAAGCAATAGCTTAGAACAGGTGACCTAGGCCTGTTAGAGATCAGGAAAATAAATGCTTAAACCAAATAGGGTGTGGTGCATGCCTGTAACTCCAGCATTTGGGGTGCTGTGGTGGAGGGCTATGCGCTTGAAGCCAGCCTGAACTACCTAGTGAGTCCTGTCAAGGAAGGAAGCGAGGGAGGGAGGGAGGGAGGGAGGGAGGGAAGGAAGGAAGGAAGGAAGGAAGGAAGGAAGGAAGGAAGGAAGGAAGGAAGGAAGGGAGGGAGGGAGGGAGGGAGGGAGGGAGGAAGGGAGGGAGAGAGGGAGGGAGGGAGAGAGGGAGGGAGGAGGGAGGGAGGGAGGGAGGGAGGGGGAAGGGAAAGAGAAAGAAAGGAGACAAGGGGAGATAAAAGGAGAGAGGGAGGGAGGGAGGGAGAAGGAAGGAAGGTAGAAGGGAAGAAGGGAGGACAGGAGGAAGGGAAGGAGGGAGGGAAGAAAAGAAAAGAAAAAGAGCCCTTGATACCATAACATTTACATGAAGATTGCACGGGTTAGCATCCATCTCCAGTCTCAGCTTCTACAGGCCAGAGGGACATGATTCCACCCTTCTTCCTCAACTCTCAGCTTAAAGAACACCACACCACATTCTAGGTGGCCTCCAAGTACCCAATGATGGGCTGGCCGGATGCTGACACAGCTGAAAACACAGAATGTAACAAAGTATCTGACTCCACAGCGAAAGACAGAAATGTCCCATGTGTGAGAGGGAAGGGGGGCTAGGTCAGTCCAAAGGCAGGACCTGAGCAGGACCTGAGGGGTGGGCGTGGAGAGGGATGTATCATGAGAAAGAAGGAAGTATTTCAGACAGGCAGCCCAGCCTGAAGTAAGGTCAGGACTAGGTGTGGGCCAGGTGTGGGCCAGGTGTGGGCTAGATGTGGGCCAGGTGTGGGCCAGGTGCATTTGCACAACCGGGAGTGCAGCTGTCCTAGAGAAGAACGCAAACAGCAGAGAGAGGCCAGACTCATCGGGTCCTGAAATCACCAGCTGGCCATTATCACTGACAGAGGCAGAAATGGCGCGGCTTTGGCCAGGAGCGTGTCCTGCTGGCTGGGCTGCAGGATAAAATCTGGTGTGGCTAACTAGCGTGTGTTGCAATGCAGGCTAAGAAGAAGAACCTCAGGCAGGAAATCCAGGAACACAGGAAAGGGAGAAAGGAGGACTTCGCCCAAGGGGAGAGGGGGAAAACAGAAGGGGCAGGCAGGAAAATGTCCTTGGAGGGGTGACATTCTTATGACAGATTCCTATGACTGCACATGACACCAGCATGCATCATCCTCCTCCTCATGCACACATGTAGGACAAATGTCAGGTCCTCCCTGAGCATGACGAGAAACGGGATTTGAGTCAGCTGCGTTTGCTTAAAGCGGAACAACAAGGCCAGAGAAACAGAACAGGCCAAAAACAATGCAAGAACAATTGTAATTGTAATTTATCTCATATCTATCACATAATAAAAACCTTTACAATTTTCTTTTTAATCCTCCAAGGAACCTTTCCAGATTAGGTATCATTATCCCAGACAATAAGAGATCATGTCCTTAACTCCAGGCCCCTAACTAGGACAGGTACAAAGTAGTTGCTCAACAAATTTTAAAAAGAAAAAAAAAATGAAACCAGCCAGTTGCTGATGGCTCATGCCTGTAATCCGAGCTACTCAGGAGGCTGAGATCTGAGGATTACCATTCAAAGCCAACAAGGACAGGAAGTTCATGAGACTCTTATGTCCAATAAGCTACTCAGAAAGAGCCAGAAGGGGTGCTGTGGCTCAAGTAATAGAGTACTAGCCTTGAGCCCAGAGAGGCTCAAGGACAATGCCTAGGTCCTGAGTTCAAGCCCCAGGACCAACACACACACACACACACACACACACTCAAACCAAAGCCGGGAGGTGACATGGCTTGCTTCTAAATGTCAAGCCGGAAAATTCTGTGTCAGGTTGTATTCCTGTGGTGACACACAATCCATTTCCTTTTCACAACCGAGAAATCTCCAGAGGGATTCCAGGTGGCTGAGTGGCCCTGGAAGGCTAGCATGGGGGAATTTATTCACAGGGCTCGTGGAAGGGAGAAAATGAAGAGGCAGGCTTGCAGTTCACCCTGCTTCAAGTGTGAATGCTGCACGGTGCAGGTATCAGCAGTCCCCGGAGCGCATGCCAGGCTGGGTCACCGGGGACACTCGTCTAGGGGGTGTATTTGTCTGCTCCTTGGAGGAGACCCTTGGGCTCAGACATTTTGATCTCTTGTTGGGTCACAATGTTCCTGAGGCCAGGAACAAGGTTTGGCTTTACTTAGCAAAGGTGTTTCCAGATGTTTATAGAACACTTCCCAGGAGCCCACCTGGCCCTTTCCTGACTATCCCCTAGCTCTCCCTGCGAGGACCCCTGCCCCCTCCCTCCCCCCCCCCCATTTCCCCTCATCCTCTCCTCCTACAGCTAGGCCCTGGCTCAGTGAGGTGTTCCGTTCAGGACCTCCACCGGCTATGTAGCAACACCACGGCGGGAAGAGGCTCCTTCATGAGCCTTGTATTGCAGAACACTTAGAAACACCAGAGAAGCACTGGGAAGAAAACAGAAGTGAGCTGTGATCTCATGACCAGGAAAGCATCACAGTCAATATCTCCATAGATGTCTCCTTCCATTCCCTAACTTTTTTTTTTTAGGGGGGGGGGGGGGTGTCTTTCCTAGGGCTTGAACTCAGGGCCTGGGCACTCTGCCCTTGAGCTTTTTCACTCAGCGCTAGTATTCTACCACATTGAGCTACAGCTCCACGTCCAGTTTTCTGATGGCTAATTGGAGATAAAGAGTCTCATGGGTTTTTTTCCTGACTGGGGTGGGCTTCGAACCGTGATCCTCAGATCTCTCCTGATGAGCTAGGATTACAGGCATGAGCCACCAGCACCTGACTCATTCCTCAACTTCTTCATAAAACTGGGACCATGTGATGCACACGTCTCCTCTTAACTTCACCCCCTCATCCCTGGGCTCCCACCGACAGATGGCTAACTGCTTTCTCCCCACCCTCTCCTCCTAGTGTTGGTTCCTGTGAATGACCAAGTCAGCGCGGTGGTCCTGCAAGCTCTGGAAAACAACGGCTCTTTCTACGGCCGGTCAGTGGGCATCTGGCTTGGAGCCAGCAAGACATGCTTTTTCAGCACAATTGGGCGCTATGACATCAACACGCCGAATGCCACGCTGCTCAGGGCCTCCTGGAAAATCCCCAGTCTCGTGCCTCCATCTCAGATCAACATACAGTAAGGACTTCCCAGCTTTTTTTTGCTTCACACGTTTCCATTTCATGAGGGCTGTGTGGGGTTTGGCATTAACCTAAGAGGACAAAAACTGCAGTCTGGGTGTGTGGTGCCTGACCTCCTGGCTGGAGGAATTTAGTCAAAGACAGTCTAGAACAAATCAGGAATTAATATGTGCTCACTGAGCCATAAAGGAAATAAACACAGGGTGAGAAAGGGAGAGAGAGAGAGAGAGAGAGAGAGAGAGAAAGACAGAGAGACAGAGAGACAAAGGCAGAAATGGGAACTGGACGTGTGAATTCCAGAGACCCTCACCCTATCTCTCATTGATTTGCCCTCCAGGGTCTTCATTGTCAATCACAACAACACGGCCACCTTCTCTTCCAGGACACTGGACAGAGGTGAGTTGCTTTCCTGCCCATTTGCATACCCAATCAGCCTGGAAATGTTCTTTGTGGATGCCCTAAGGAAAAAAAAGGAGACAGGGAAGGGGGTCTTCGAATCATGCATTCCCGATACCAGTTAATTCTTCCAGCACCCCTGCACCTTGCAACCTACATAAAATATGTTCCCAGGGCTGGGGATGTGGCTCAGTGGTAGATTGCTTGCCTAGCATGCATGAAGCCCTGGGTTTGATTCCTCAGTACCACATACACAGGAAAAGCCATAAGTGGTACTGTGGCTCAAATGGTAGGGTGCTGGGCTTGAGTAAAAGAAACTGAGGGACAGTGCCCAGGCCCTGAGTTCAAGCCCCAGGACTAGCAAAAATAAAAATAAAAATCCCCAAGATTTCTGCAAATTCCAAGAAATTTTTACAGTTACCGCTGGCTCCAAAACCTCTGCTTCTAAAAGAGACATTTCTGTTCCGAACCACATAGACATCAGGATGAAAAGCAACAGCCCCGATTTCCATAAAGAATCCCCACTCTGCAAGGGGCCAGTCGGTGGCTCACACCTGAAATCCTCACTACTCAGGAAGCTGAAATCAGAATCCAAGGTTCAAAGCCAGATCAGGCAGGAAAGTCCATGAGACTCTTATCTCCAATTAACAAATTTAAAAAGCCAGAAGTAGGGGCTGGGAAAGTGGTAGAGTGGCATGCATGAAGCCCTGGGTTCGATTCCTCAGCACCACACAAGTAGAAAAAGCCAGAAGTGGTGCTCTGGCTCGAGTGGTAGAGCGCTAGCCTTGAGCTGAAGAGCTGAAGGACAGCATCCAGGCCCACAGTTCAGGCCCCATGATGGGCAAAAAAAAAAAAAAAAAAAAAAAGCCAGAAGCAGAGCTGTGGCTTAAGGGGTACAGTGCTAGCTTTGAGCACAAAAGCTCAGGGACAGACTTTTTAAACGATGGGGGTGAGTGGGAAGAGCTGCCCACAAAGGGAGGGTACCACACAAATGCTGATGGTCTCATCAGTACTACCACCGCCAACAGGAGGAGCTTCCACTGGCTTTTTACAGGCTGTAGCCCCATCCTCATCCTTTACTAAGGCTCCTCACCCCTCCTCTCCCTTCTAGCCCCTGCCCTTTCACCCACCCCCCTGCAGAGAGTTAAAACAGAAAGACTTCAAAAGACACAGACTTAGAAAATATCTGTGTTCCCGGTTAGGAGTGTGGCTCAGTGGTAGAGTGCTTGCCTAGCGTGCATGAAGCCCTGGGTTCGATTCCTCAGTACCACATACACAGAAAAAGCCAGAAGTGGCTCTGTGGCTCAAGTGGTAGAGTGCTAGCCTTGGGCAAAAGAAGCTCAGGGACAGTGCCCAGGCCCTGAGTTCAAGCCCCACGACTGACAAAAAAAAAAAGGAAAAGAATCTATGTTCCCAATACCACACAAAGAGTCAATAGCAAAATGAGGACCCTAATTCTAATCTTAGGCTTACTTAGACTTACATCAAAACTAAAATGACAGATTTAATGGTATTTTTAAGTACATGATTCACAGAACAGGAATAATTAAGTCTTTCTCAATGTCCAAATAACAGGACTCCCTCATGAGCCCCAGAATACTGAAAGTTACCCATTGTCTTACCAGTCACCCAGTAAACGTGTGTTCAAGGGGGATAATTATTTCCAACAACAACTTTTTTTTTGGGGGGGGGGAGGGGCGGTTCCGGTCATGGGGCCTGAACTCTGGGCCTGGGCGCTGTCCCTCAGCTCTTCACCTCAAGGCTAGCTCTCTACCACTTGAGCCACAGCGTCACTTCTGGCTTTTTTCTTTTTGCTTATGTGGTGCTGAGGAATCGAACCCAGGGCCTCATGCATGCAAGGCAAGTGCTCTACCACTGAGCCACCTTCCCAGCCCCTCCAACAACAACTTTTAAAGCGATTATACCTAGAACAACTATGACATAAAAGTCTTAACTTGCTTCCTTGGTGGCTTTCTCTCTGGAGAAGACTAAGATGTCTTCTTCCTCAAGAACAGTTTCAAGATGCATAGAGGTGTAAATGCTAAAGGAGATGTTTGTTTCTAACCCAGGCCCTAGTAACTCCATGCTAACAAAATCGAGTTTGAAAAAAAGAGGCAGGGCATGGTGAGTCATGCCTATAATCCCAACACTAGGGAGGCTGAGGTAGGAGGATGGAGAGCTTGAAGTTAGTCTGGGTAGTCTTACATAATGAGATCTTGTTGAAAGAAGAAAGTTATGGGTCCAACTCTGGCTCCATACAAATTCTAGAGAAATATTCCTCCTGGGGGTTTCCCCCTAAATGGCCTAAAGACCATACCAATCAGACTAGAATGCCAAAGGCTGCCCAGGGCTGGGAAATCACTCGACAGGTTCTCTTCCTCCTCCTTCTTCTAACCAAAGAGTTTTCCATTGGTTGAAGTTGTTTCAAAGGGGTGATCTCTATGGTCACTCAGATCCTTGCAGTGTCAAGTCCCCAGCTCCTTTTCTCGGCATCACACAAGGCCTTAGGACTACAGGGCTGGCTTCGCTGCTTCTCCTAGAGCTCTCCTCAGAGAACTCGTGTCTATCTGGTCAGATCCCTGCATGTAGAAATGGTAGCACCTCAGAAGCCATTGAAACAGTCAGGGACCTGGAACGTGCATCTTTCTCCTAACTTGAAAGCAGAGATGGCAGTTCTCAGATCTAGCCCTTGATATTAGCAAGAAAAACTATAGCACTGTGCCGCTCTGGATTGGATCTGTGTACTGCTTAATCGAACAGGAAAGACATGAAGGTATCTGAGGGCGGCCTCTTCACCCCAACAATAAATTCATAGACATTCAATAGGTCACCCTGGAGCCTCAAAGGACTGTGGGTAGGGACTTAATGATTTTGGTTACTTTACCCTTGTTTCCACTTGCTGTGACCCTGCTGTGCACACCCCAGACTAAACTCTGCTCCAGCAGTCAGCGTCCCTGCTGCATCTAGCCCCACCCACCACCCCACAGAGGGTCTCTCTGATACAATGGGGATTTTGTTTGTTTTCCAGCCATGATGACAACCTCCACCTCCTCCTCCATGACTTCCAGCACCAGCCCAACTACCAAGACTGTCTCAATCACAATGTCCAAACCCAGGGCCAAAACCACGACCACAAGCACAAGAAGTCTGGCCGTCCGAGCTTTCAGTAGCCCCATTGTTGGTGCCATTCACATCTTGTTCGTTTTCCTCATCAGCAAACTCCTCTTCTAAGGAAACCCAAGAAAGCCATTGTCCGGCCTCCTGGGCATCTCTCAGACCAGGGCTTCAATGCATGCGAGTGAAGGCTCTGAATTTTCAAACGTGCAACTCCACTACCGGCCACTGCTGCAGACCAAAGACTCATGGCCCTCACGGGGGACTTGGGTGACACAGATAGTTCCACCAGATTTCTCAGGGCACAAAGCACCTGCCCTTGTCATGACACGGAATCTGCCTGTCAGATTCACATGTCGTCAGCAGCTCTGAACTTCTGTGCATTGCCAAAGGATTCCTCCGGCCCTTGTGAGTTTCTGGAGGAAGAATGCTTCCTAACTTTCAGGATGATCTCAGGTTCCTGACCCAAGCTACTCTGGTTACACACAACTTCTGACTTGTGTTGACTCCAGGAAGACAGGAAAAAAGGAGAACTGGCTTCTGGCAGTTCCCAGGTTCCACACCAGTAGGTTTTGAAGGGCAACAGATTAGGAAGGTACCATGTGAGCAGCTAACTACAGGGAAACTTACGCTCTACGGGCATTTTTCTAAATCACTTCAAGGAAATGGTATTTTGAACAAGAATAATGAGTGTGTTAAATTCAAGCAGTTCTTTAATGAGTGATTGACTTTCAATAGAGGATGGTATCTAATTTTACTCATTTACATATTAAAAACTAATGGAATGATGAGTGTGTATTATGTTTTCAAGACAAGTCCTAAAGACCTAAATGTTCATTGTCTTCCCATACAAACAGGTCATTTGCTACCTAATAGCAATTTCCAGTAAGAAACGGGCAAGGTATTTCTAAGACTTAGAATACATTGTGAAACCAAAAGAAAGCCTGGTATTTCCAACAGTGAGCATGGTATAAGGAGCAAATTTCCCTTTAATAATTAGGCTATCTTCCAGAGAACTGACACCCTAACATGATATAGCTTTCAGATTGCTCACTATTGCTCCTTCTCCCACTATTAGGACACCCTGTGACATTCCTCACGCTCCCTGCTTTGCCTGCAGAATGCCTCCTGGGCAGCTATTCAGGCTGCTTACTCAAGCGTGCTCTGCTTGACTGGTTAAATGCTGTGGAGACCTATTGGCTACCATTCTTTTCTAGCATCCAAAAAGGACCTGGGGGAGGAGGGAGGGACTCACATCTGTCATCCTGCCTCCTTAAAGAGGCTGAGTTCTGAGGATCTCAGTTCAAAGCCAAGCCTGGGCAGAGAAGTCAGTGAGACTTTTATCTCCAAGCAACCAACAAGCCAGAAGTGGAGATGTGGCTCAAGTGGTAGAGTGCCAGCCACCTTTGAGCAGAAAAAGCCAAGTGGGAATGCTAGGTCCTGAATTTAAGTCCTAGTACCAGCATGAAAGAAAAGTCACTAGGAAGAACTCCACGACAAATCTTTCCATCCAAAATGGCATGCTCCTGGCCTTGTCAGAACGCTGCCTGAGGGGCAGGGTCCACACCAGCCCTGAAAGAGGAGCAACCATGGCCCTTCACCCCTATCCCCAAAGGTCGGGCAATTTTCTGGAATGGGAAAAATCCCATGAATGCCCATTTGATCAGCATGTATTTAAAATACCGTTATCATAGTTTTTGTCCTACAAAAGCTCTTACCTGGTTAACATTTATATCCTCTCCCCTTTAAAAAATAAATGTGTGTGTGTGTGTGTAAGATATCCTATGTCAGTACTCGGAACTTCCCCAGACAACACTTCTCTGATCTAGAGAATGGCCAAACCCTGCTGTTTATCAGCAGATATGAACTGAACACCTTCTCTGGGCCAGAAGGTACTTGGGGCACTTACACAAGGTGTCAGCCCAGAAGCCTCCTCCCTCAGGGCTTCACAGGCTCTTGCCCTAGACAACACTAGGCCATGTAGTAAAGGCAGCAGGTGATCAGCCCCTACCCCTATCCCTGAGAGAGCGCTCTATCAGGACAGCTATGACTATGTAAGGCAGGGAGAGCCCCCAAATCCTGGAGATAATAAAAGGTCATCTGAGACTACAGCTGACACTTCTTCTCACTTCCTCTCACCTGGTGAGACGGGGTCTTGCCTGTCCCCTTCCTGGCAGTGAACCTTTCCCTTGTTCTGCCTACCTGGATGTCCACATGATTTTCTGGCTGTGTCTATTTTACTCTAATACAAGGCGTAGATCCCCACCTGAAGAATCTCTCACAGACAGACTGATTCTGAAACATCTTCCATGTGCTGCCGCTATAAGGTGCTTTCACGAGGGTCATGGGTGAGCTGCTCACAAAAATGTACTGCCCTGAAAGATGCCCGATTTATTGTACATTTTATTTTTAAAGGTAAGAAGAAAACAGAGGTTCAGAGATGTTAGATAACTGGCCTAGACCATGGAGCTAGGAAAAGAGAGCCCAGGGCCAGGTCTGGTGGCACTGGCCTGTAATCCTAGCTACTGGAGATGCAGCCATGGGGCTGGGGTAGGAGGGAGACCAGCTGAGGCCAAAACAAGTTTTATGAGACTCCATCTCAACCAACAAGTAAGGCGAGGTGGCACACGCCCGCTATCCTGGCTTCTGGGAAGCACAATGTCTAGGCACAGTGTCAAGGGCTAGTCAACCCCAGTGACACAAGGAAGCACAAGCAGGAAGATGGCAGCCCAGGCCTAAAGCAAGACTCCATATTGGAAAGAACCAATGCAGAAAAGGGCTGGAAGTGTGGCTTAAGTAAGAAACCTGCCTGGCACGCCCAAAACCCTGAGTTCAATCTCCAACACCACCCAAACCCTCTCCCCCCCCCCCCCCAAAAAAAAAAGCAGACAAGAACACCTACCTGCTCCGAAGATGGCTTTCCATTTAGCCACAAGGACGGGGGCTGGGAAGGTGGCTCAGTAGTAGAGCGCTTGCCTTACACAAGGACCTCGGCTGGCTGATACAGAAGAACAGCCCCATCTTGCTCCACTGAGTGCGGAACACAAACTACAGCACTGGCCACAGTGAATACTCCTCGATAAAGTGTAGCTGCCATAGTGAAGTGTTTTAGTGTACATCTCTTTGAGTTCGTATTCCCGAAGATGGTTAAGTTTCTTCAGTGCACACATTCATGTCTTTCATCAACTGGTAAGTTTTCAGCCATTATCTCCTTACTCTTTGAGCTCTCTCCTCCTCTGGAAATAATTTAGACAGGCATTGTTTAATTTGATGGTATCCACAGATCTTTGCAAGTTTGCCTAAGGCTCTTTATACCTGGGGGCACATCCTGCCTCCGAAATCTGGAGGGAAAATCATCTCAATGCACCCTCTTTACTGGGACGTTCCGGTGGGGCCTGCTGAGGGACGCGTCTGAGGTCCGCGTCCAGAGGCTGTGGGGACAGCTCTTTACCTGAACAGCTTTGTGAATTCCAGCTTCTCTTGATTTCACTCAGAATGCAAATGGATTATGAGAAAGCCAGATAAATCTGTTTGAAGAAACTCTTAGGGGGGAGTTTATGTTATCACAGTGATTATTTTCTAAGCTGAAGCATGAAAGAATTGCTGAAGTATGCTGCTATCTGACGTATGCTCAAGAGATTTAAATCTAATATATATATATTCATATATAAACAAACACAGGCCCAGACAATTCTTTAGAGATGACAAGCACATTCCTTTATTGAGTAAATACTTGCAGGCTGCCCTTAACACCCTCAGACTCAACCATTTCACCACAGATCCAAACTATCAGGAAAAAATGTGTTTGTGCCAAACACAGCAGACCACCTAAACAAGACTCTGGATTAGGTATTACAAGTAATGTACAGATGGCTGGCAGGACACGAGAGCATTGTGTAGGTTATATGCATGCTAGAGGGTCTGGAGTACTGATGCACTTGGGTATCTGCAGGGGGGCTGGAGACCAATCTCCCAAGGGCACAGAGGAATGACAGGTCTCAGGTCTCGGCATCTGCTGTGTAGGAAGCAGGGCTGGGACCTGGGGAAATAGGAATGAATGAGGCAAACAGGGCCCCAAGCTCTCAGGAAACTGACATTGTGGTTGGGATAGGCAGTAAACTACTGTACAAAGAAATAAGACAAAGAGAAACAACTATAAATCGCTAAAGTGTCAGAAAGAGAAGTGTATAGTATCATATATATATATATGTATATATATATAAACACATATATCACACACACACATATTCAGGGTGGTCAAGGAAGGCCCTAGCAGACAGTACCAGGCTGAAATCTGAAAAGTGCTTGGGTTTTTTGAAGGGATTAGGGCAACAGGGAATACGGCTGGGCAGGAATGGAGAAAAGGACCCTGGGACCAGGATGCAGTGAGGGACTTGGGCTTGTGCGTACACAATGGCTGGACCTCACTGAAAGAACATGGTGGGGGGTGGAGAAGACATGGTAAAAGCAAGAGGCAGCTTCAGGGACAGCATGGGGTAGGGAACAAGGTCCAAACTGCTCTTTTAGAAAAATCCACTGGAGTATGAAAGAGAACAAAGGGGAAGCAGGAGACCAGTTAAGAGGTGATGTCAGCAATCCAGATGAGAAAGAAATGGTAGCAGTTCGGATGAGGGTGGTAACAAAAGAAATAGAGAGGTCGCTGGACACCCAGCCAGTCGGGAGACTGAGATATGAGAATCAAGCTGCAACTCTAGCCTGAGCAGAAAAGTCCTAGCGACTCTATCTTGACTTAACCAGCAAAAAAGATGAACTGGAGGCATGGCTCAAGTGGTTGAATCCCAGTGAAAATAAGTTAAGCAGAAGCTCAAAGCCTTGAGTTTAAGCAGAGAAGGAGAAGGAGGGGGAAATGGAGGGGAGGAAAGAGAAGGAAAGAAGGGAGGGAGGGAGGGAGGGGAGAGGCAGACAAGACTCATAGAGGAGAAGGAATGGAACTTCCAGCTTTCTGTCTTGAAGAACGGGATAGTACTGGCATTTAAAAGCGGGGTGAACTTGCCTCAAATAATGAGGATTTACTTCTTGAGTATATTTAAGAACACAAACCTAAATTGCCATATCTTAAGTCAAACATGAAGAAGGGAGGAGGAAGAGGGAGAAGAGGAGAAACAGAAACAGAGGAAGAGAAGCAACAGGGAGTATGAGGAGGAGGAAAAAGAGAAAGAGAAGGAAGATGAAGAAGGGGAGAAAGAAGAACAGGAGGAAAAGGAGGCGGAGAAAAAGAAAGAGAAGTAGAAAAAGAAAGAGGAGGGGAAAACAAAGGAAGAGGAGAAAAGGAGGAGGGAGAATCCCGTTTCAGTTCCCTTTTTCAATTAATTCTGAGCCTGCCTGGCTCTCTAGGGTGGACGTGGGAAGGGGGATTTCTAAAGGAAGCAAAGGGGACCGGTGGGAAGGCGGAGCTCTGGCTCTGTGCAGCCCGAAGGGGAGGAGACACACACTCTGGTCCATCTTTCTCCAGCGAGATCAGCCGTTCTGGGCATCACGGCCCATTCCCGGGGCAGTGTTTATCTGGGACATCTTCCAGAAGTGCGCCGCCACAGAACCTTGCTATAAAGTTAAATTGTGTGAAACCAATTCCGTGTGTGAAGGAGGCGAGAAAGTAGCTCACACATATTAAGAGCAAAATGGGCACAATCTGCTCCCCATCTTTAAGGCACTACCAGTTCCAGAAGGCAGTGAAAGCCTGGGTGGATCACTTAGCCGAGGTCAGGTACACTAGCATCCTTCCCAGGCAAGCAGGTGACCTTTGCATTCTGGCCAGGTTTATGACCCACGGGCGGCTACTCTACTATCAGTTAAGTTGACACAAAATGGCAGCTACTCATAAGATATGATGACTATCTTGTTAGGCCAAGGCTCTGTTGCTTGAATCACACCTCAAGCTCAATCTACTAAGAAATAAACATATTGTCTCCAGACTTTGTGGTCGCCTGAATTTTATTTTTTTTTAATAAGATTTAAAGGGAAACATTTTTTTCCACTTATACCAAGGGGGAAAAAAAAATGCTTAAAAGGGGGATGACAGAGAATGTAACACACATAGATTTCTTCTGCTTTCGGATAATCTCATGTCAAGACATTTTGCTGGAATAACATCATGTTTGATTTACAGACAAAAGGCCCCAAGTGGCGTGCAGAAGGGCCAGGGTACGCCCCGGGGAGGGGGAGAGCACGCACTGCATGAGTGAGTGCGAGGCCAGGGTCCCCTCCCCGGCTGCAGATACATCTTCAGAGTCCGCGTCAAGCTTGATGGTATAACAGATGTACATTTCCAACAGTTCTTAGAAGCATTTCAGTAGACAGACACTCCAGAACACGAGGCGAAGGCACCGGAGATTGTTTACTTAATGTTCTCAGGGACTAAAGATCTTTCCCCAGTATTGAAAAAAAAAAAAAATCAGTCTTCTGACAGCAGTAACACCACACACACACACACACACACACACACACACACACACACACACACACACACACACACACACACACTATAAAAATCAGTCTTCTGACAGCAGTAACACCACACACACACACACACACACACACACACACACACACACACACACACACACACACACACACACACACACACACACACACACACACACTATTCTCCCTTATAGACTACAATGTTGTTGTCAGTTTCATACACTTTGACCTTATAAAGAGCTCCCTCAGGAAGCAATTTCTGGAGATTTTCCCAGATAAACACAGCTACATTTTCGGTTGTGCTGTAGAGAGAAAAGGAAAAAAGTAAAGAAGTTCAAGGTGCATGGTAAGAAACCAAATTTCTTGTTGAATATTTACAGAGAACAAATTTTGACTGAAAAGTATCACTAGACTAAAAATTTGGTCACCCAGCAATCAGATGAAATGTTAGCTCTGGGATGCCCACCTTACAGTGTCCGCAAAGTACGCCACGTCCAGGTCCAGGTTCTTGTGATCGAGGGGCTCCATGATGGCCTCCTATGGGCAGAACAGAGCCACCACTCAGCACGCAAGGCCCCTAAGTTTCTGAACCTTACCCCATCCGTACTTGGGACTCCATGCCATTCAGTGTTCTCTCTGGGACCAATAAAGCAGGCCTACAAGGTTTAGGGCTGCAAAATCAAGTCTGCCACAGCTCCCCGTAATGCTGAGTGTCCTTGCTACTCAAAGTGAAGACATGAGAAAACAAAAACCAGAGCATCCTGGAGTTTTCTCCAAACACAAGCCACTGCCATTCAGAACTCAATCCAACACTTCCTAAGCTCTGTACAACAGGATACTAGAAATGCCCTTTCTCCAGTCTCACCCACAGCAATGCTGCAGGAGACAAAGCCCATAAGAAACAGTGCTTATATATATATTTAAATGTATAAATATATATAAACACTGTTTCTTATGGACTTTGTCTTCATATATATATTGTTTATATATATATATATATATATATATACACTTTATATGAGTATATATGTATATAAATAGTATATAGACTGTATTGAGTGTATATATATTCCCTATTTTATACATTATATGCTTATATATTATATAGTACACATAATCTATATATTATAAATATTATATATAACTTATATATAATTTAAGTTATATATTATGTATATTAATTATATATTGTATAAGTTATATATTATAGATTCCATATAAATATATATACCTATATACTCATATAAATTTAAATAAATATAGAGTACATTATATATATAGTTATTTATTTATCAATCACAGAATCCAGCGGCACACCTCCCTGTGACCTCACACATGGTCTCCGTGTGTCCATGTTTTGTGTCCCGACTTTGTTACTTGCATATGTGTGTTTTGTGTCCCCAGTCTTTACCTAAATTCTTTGAGCACTGTGCTATTTATTCACTCATTCCTCATTCATTGACCCAACTAACAATGTTAGGGTACTCGGTAGCCTTTATCTCAATTTTAGAGTACTCACTCTTCTTTATCTCTTACAAAAAGCAAAGTACACACTTCATGGCTACATCTCACTCACTTCATTGTTTCTAGGACTTAGCTGGGAAAAAATGACGCAAGTAAGCCGCTCTACTTAGTATATGCATAGTAGTAGTGTCAAGAAGGCACGATTGATCATTCATTTTTAGGAAACAAAAGTCAAAGATCAGAATAACACTCAGTTGCAGAGTGGAAGTAGGACGCTAAAAAAGCACGTTGGCTCAGGAGGAGGAACAAGAGAGCCAGAGCGGCAGAAAAAGGTCCCGAGCTCTGCCCGGTGCCCTGGGCCAAGGCAGGCCTCCCTCAGCTTGCAGCTAGGGAGGAAGAGACATCTGTATAATCTCTGGGAGGTCTCACAACGCAAGAACAGTTAGCTAACACAACCAATAAGCCCCCTTAATGCCTTCCTCTGTGTTGTCTCTACAAGGAACTGCCCAGGAAATTTCTTTTTTTTTTTTTTTTAGGCATTATACCTTTTTATTCCTTTGCTAAGAGTACTCTTTGGTCCTACTGTGTGTGAATGCCTATAGTCCTGTGTAATTTATCATGTTCTTTTAAGTGTTTTTAAATTAGGAATATAATAGGGAGGCCATAACCTCAAGGGACATCTTATGTATTTCCTCGAGGTCACTACTCTTTTATACTAGACTGCAGGTCTGTGTATTCAGACTGTCCAAGAAATAAACTCTCACCAGCTGTCCTGTCTTCTTTTTTTGGCTATACCCACAGGGTTGAACACAGGGTTTGTTTGCTATGCAGGTACTTCAGCATTCAAGCCACATCCTATATACCTTTCCTTGGTTGGATTAGTTTTCAGGTGTTTCATATATATATATATATATATATGAAGGGAGAGAGAGAGAGAAAGAGAAAGAGACAGAGACAAAGACAGAAAAACAGAGAGGGAACTGGGTACTGGTGGCTCACACCTATAATCCTAGCTACTCTAGAGGCTGAGATCTGAGGATCACAATTCAAAGCTAGCCCAGGCAGGAGAGTCATCCACTAGAAAACCAGAAGTGATGCTGTAGCAAAAGTGATGCCTTGAGCAAAAGAGCTCAGGGACACTGCCCAGGTCCCCAGTTCAAACCTCACCAAAAAAAAAAAGAAGTAGAGAAGAAAAGCTATGATTTGAAAGAAGAGAGATTTGTTCTATGCAGGACACAAGGCTCTTTCAGTGAGAAATACCAGGTGTGCATGCTACAGGTCTCCCAAAGCTATAACACAACACAAAGGAATTACTTCCTACTAAGAAGACCTTCCAAGAGCAAGAGCAGTCTCTCCAACTATGCCCTCCTATCCCCGCCATAAAGCCACGGAACCCCAAGAACTAAGTCAGCAAAATTCATAGAGGAGATAGCACATAAGAAATACAGCCACGCACCGGTGGGTCAAACTATAATCCTAGCTACTCAGTAGGCTGAAATCCAGAGGATCAAGGTTTAAAGCCAGCCTAGCCAGGAGAGTCCATGAAGCTTCATCTCCAATTATTAGCAAAGAGCCAGGGTGAAGGTATGGCTCAAGTGATAAGAGTCCAGGCCAAGAAACCCAGTCAGTGAGGCCCTGAGCTCAAACCCCAACAGTGGTTAAAAAAGAAAAAAAAAGGGGGGGGGGTGACATCGTCCAAGAAGAAATGTACTCTACCTGACTTAGGTAACTAGACCCCTTTGTATATCACCATTATAATAACAATTAAAGAAGGTTGTTGTTGTTGTTGTTGTTGTTTAAGAAAAAGCTGGGGGGCTGGGAAGGTGGCTCAGTGGTAGAGCACTTGCCTTGCATGCTCGAGGCCCTGGGTTCGATTCCTCAGCACCATATAAGCAAAAAGCCGGAAGTGGCGCTGTGGCTCAAGTGGTAGAGCGCTAAGCCTTGAGCTGAAGAGCTGAGGGACAGCGCCCAGGCCCAGAGTTCCGGCCCCACAACCAGACCCAAAAAAAAAAAAAAAAGAAAAAGCTGGGCAGCAGTGGCTGACACCTATAATCTTAGCTACTCAGGAGGCTGAGATCTGAAGATCACAGTTTGAAGAGGAGCAAAGTCCATGAAACTTTTTTTTGTTTGTTTGTTTTTGGGTCCGGTCGTGAGGCTTGAACTCTGGGCCTGGGCGCTGTCCTCAGCTCTTCAGCTCAAGGCTAGCACTCTACCACTTGAGCCACAGTGCCACTTCCAGCTTTTTTCTTTTTGCTTATGTGGTGCTGAGGAATCGAACTCAGGGCCTCAGGCATGCAAGGCAAGCGCTCTACCACTGAGCCAACCTTCCCAGCCCTCCATGAAACTCTTATCTCCAATTAAACACCAAAAAAGACAGAAGTGGAGCTGTGGTTCAAGTAACAGAGTGCTAGCCTTGAGCACAAAAGCTCAGGGAAAGCACTCAGGCTCTGAGTTCAAGCCCTAGGACCAGTACGAGAGAGAGAGAGAGAGAGAGAGAGAGAGAGAGAGAGAGAGAGAGAGAGGGGGGGGGGGGGGGGGGGGGGGGGGAAGGGGGGAGGGGGAGAGAGGGGGAGAAAAAGAAGGCGTGTTGGCAGTACCACTATGGCATTACCTCCATGTATTTTTTGAGGTCAGTCAAGTTCATGACCATTCCTGTATCAGGATCAATCTAGAGAAGAAACAAGGGTGAATATTGCTCTTTTAGGCTCTCCACATTGAAACCATTGGCAATGATTAAAGGCCGTTGAACATGCAGATGTGCCCGCTGCTGCCCACACTGCACTGAAGCCCCGGCAGTCACCGGCTGCTCTTCCCCCCTCCTCCCAGGGCACACTGCAGGCGAGGCTGGGAAGGGAGAGGCCGGGACCACAAGCAGCTCGGCACACACAGAGGCCAACAACAAAGCAACGGAAGCCACACTGGACACAGAGGGAGGCCCCAGCAATCTAAACAGAGCACACAAATATCTTCAGCACAAGGGATGAAGGCATGGTCCAAGTGGTAGAGCACCAGCGCGAGCAAGAAAGCCAAGCGAACGTGAGGCCCCAGTATCAAAAAAAACAATAATGTTTTTTTCAGCACGTACCTCCCCGTATACTGTCACCACAACTATGGGAAAGAAAACGAAACACCAAAAGAACAAGCTAGACTTTCAACCAATTATACATCTACATACAAATCAGCAATGTCAATTCTTCCTTAGATCTCTGGCCCCCAAAGCTATATGTATATTTTCTCACAAAACATCTGTCTTTTTTTTTTTTTTTTTTTGTGGGTCGTGGGGCCTGAACTCTGGGCCTGGGCGCTGTCCCTCAGCTCTTCAGCCCAAGGCTAGCACTCTACCACTTGAGCCACAGTGCCACTTCTGGCTTTTTCTGCTTATGTGGTACTGAGGAATTGAACTCAGGGCCTCCTGCATGCAAGGCAAGCACTCTACCACTGAGCCACCTTCCCAGCCCCACATCTGTCCTTTTAATTATGATCTTTTGTCCAACTAACGCAAGACTCAACCAACACAGAGGAGCTTAGGAGGGCCTGTGGCTAAGCAGAAGTCAGCCAAGGCCAAAAAGGGGTCTAAATCCTGCTTAGGACGTTAGTGTTGTCAGGGAAGACAAAACTGCTGCTCAGTCTGTACCTGCAAAAGCAGGGAATGTGCATTCAGGAGTCTGGCCACACAGTGAACTGGCCAATTATAGGCAGGACCTTTCCAAGGAAGCAAAACTACTATTGATTCTTATCTCTTTCCTTCCAGGACTACACATTCACTTGAGACTAATGCCTTGCAAAACAAATACTTGTACAGAGCATTAAAATCTTGATCAGTACTTTACCAATTAATGACTTTAAAACAATTTGTATTTTTAGGTACTTCCTGAGTTTGAGAGATAGGAGAGAAAGAGGCAGCAGAAACGGATCTTCCAACACCTGATCTGGTTTTTCCTTTTGGGGATACTAGGGTTTGAACTCAGAACCTCACAGTTACTAGGCAGGGGCTCTGTCACTAGAGCCATTCTGCCAGCATTAATTGTCCTGACTTTTGTAATGCCGTTATACTACTTCCTCCTACACTGAGGTTTATGTGGCTGGTTTTTGTGGCATCAGCTCCAGAGTCTCTTATCCTTGCATATATTACTTACTTTCATTCAAGGGCTCAAAGCACCGATCCTGTCCAAGAATCTCCTTCCCCTCCCATCCACCCCAGCTGAGCGCCCTTCACTGAAGAGCTGGCATTACACCAGTCTCCTCTCACCTTTGTAATTGTGCCCGTGGCCATTGGGATTGTTGCATTTCCCATAGAGTTTCAAGTTTTCTTCCTCACTCAGAGACTTGCTAACAAAAGAAAAAGAAAAGTCAGTCAGCGTGACCCAAGATTGTTTGAATTCGGGCTCCTTCTCTGTTCCCTACATTTTATTATTTGCCCTGATCTTTCCAAAGTATAATCACTGATCATCATGTTAGTTCATCAACTTGAGAAATCACTTTTATTCATTACTTACCTTGACATCAGGAACCAATAGACATGCTGTAATTAGACTACTGTTCCATACAATTTGGCACTATAAAAACAAAACGTCTCAAAATTCAGGCCCTTCGTTCCATAGCAAGATTCTAACTTACATAATCATTCCTTTTAGTTTTCAATTCAACAAACGTTTACTGAACACCTATTGTGTAAAAGGCAATACAGAATAAAACCAGAGCCCAGATAGCAATCACACAGGAAGCTATTAGTCCTCAAGCAACCTAAAATTACTTTCCTCCCAGAAAGGAACTGTATTGACCTCGGATAACCTGTTTTAACAATCTTGCTCAACTCTGCCTACTGAAAAACCTCACCAACCGGTCCAGGGATATTCAAATCAGGTGAAAATGTAAAAGTACAAATCTTAGCTATTGCTCCAGACAGAAAGCAATCTACTTTATGAATCTGTGCCTCTGTACTCACCCAAGTGCCACACCCACTATCATCCCTTTAAGATCTTTAGGTATTGTACAAGGACACACAGAACCTTAGTTCACAGGGCTTCTGCATTAAATTATCTCCCTGTACCCTCCTACCCTCCACAACATGGGCCACATGGCAAGATGCCGAGAGAAACCAGGGACAAGTGTGTCCCGGTCACTTACAAACAGGAAATGAACCCCTGTGCACAGTCTGCAGCCTGGCCCACCCGCTAGGGTGCCTGCACTCAGCGACCAGGGGGCGACTATCCGAAACCCCCTGGCTGGGCCCCCGCCCGAGGCCACGCCCAGCCCGAGGCCACGCCCCCAGCCGAGGCCACGCCCCGAGGGCGTCCCAGCGCAGGTGCCGCCTCCGGCCCGGGCTCCTGCGGACACACCCCACCATGGCTGCCCCCGTCCCTGACGCCAGTGGGCACACCCTACCTGTGCAGGCGGTGGCTGGCGCTGAAGGAGACCAGGCGGGACACCCGCGCCCGGCGGCGACTCGGGCCCACCGCGTCCATGGTCTCCAGACCGCGCGCGGGTGACCAGCCCTGCTCCCCCCCAGCTCCCGCGCTCCCGCTTGGCGCCGGTGGGCGGGGCCTCCCCGCGGCTGCGCAGTGAGGGCTCGCGCCGGAAGCTGCCGAGTTGTCTCGCGGTCTGGGTGCGCGGACCTTGGACCTGTGGGTGTGGTTCTGGGGTCCGAGGCCCGAGGGGCACCTGCCGTGTCCTCGAGGGGTGCTTTTGAGCTTCCTTCCCGCTCAAGCCTTGGGCTCGAGCCCTGGGGGCCACTGTCAGAGCGCAGTCTCCACTGCGGGCTCCTGCCTAGCGTCCCAGCCACGCTGCAGGCTGAGATCCTGAGCATCGCGGTTCTAGGCCCCCCGAAGGAGGTCCCAACCATTAGCTCGGGAGCGTGCACTCTGGAGCTGGAGAGGAGAGGATCTGGAGTTGGAAAGCTACCTCAGGAGACCCTGTCTCACAAACACCACCCCTGGGATTTGAGGGCACCTGCAGGACCACGTGCTCTGCGGACTGTTGGATGACAACTCTCCCCAAGAAAAATGCTTCCGTCCTCCGCACTGCCCTCCAGCAGGCGCGAGCCCATTGATCGGGCAGAACAGGAACAGCCCAGACACCCTCTGACAGGCATCCTAGCAAATCACGCCTGGGAGCGCCAGGACGGTGCTTGCCAGGATGTCCAGAGTTCCCAGCACCTGCCAGCAGGGGCCTCTCTGCTTGTTGGGTGTTGGAGGCACCGGCTCGGGCTGGCGCTGTGCCGGGTACAGGCCCGAGGTTAGCTGAGCGTTTGTAGATGAGAACAGTCAAATGCAGGTGATACGTGGAAGGCCACCGAGGCGAGGCCCACTGTGATTTCCAAGCGAGCTGCCTCTTGTGTTTGTTCAGGCATTAAAATGTTGAATGTTCTGTTACACCATTCTTCACATATTTTCAACTGTGTGTCTCTCTAACTCCCACCCCCCTTGGGCTATAAAAGACCTCCAAGAACCAAGAACTTGGAGAGATTTTTGAGATAAAGCCTATCTCATTCAACATCTCCATTTACAGATAAGAAGCCCAGGCCAAGATAAGAGTGAATCTCTCTGCCGTGGTCTAAATAGAAACCATATTTCCCAAATATTGACTACACTGGAGATAAAAACACTCTAAATGTCAATGGTTAACTGAACACTCTAGAAACAGTGTAAATACTCACCCACCTGGGGGAAGAAAGAATTTCTGAGCGATTGCCTCAGTTTGCCTATTTAGTAAGATGTTTCATTGTGGTTCCAGATTCTTGCTCTGGATTATTTTACGAAGGGTACGTCTGCACAAGGATATTCACATATTGAATTTTGCCCTGTCCTAAATTCAAAAGTTGATATCCAAACCGCTGAATGTAACTTTATTTGGAAAGAGACAGGCGTAATTACTTGGGGTGTGGTCATTTGAGTGCATCCTAATCCAATGTGATCAATAGAGTGTCCTCATTAAAAAAAAAAAAAGCTGGGCACGGTGGTGCATAGCTATAATCCCAGCTATTTGGAAGGCTGAGGCAGGAAGATTGCTTGAGTCTAGGAATTCAAAGCCAGCCTGGGAGAAACATAGCAAGACCTTAACAAAATAAAACCTTTTAACACAGCAACAGACAAGTATATGGCAAAGGAATGCCATCCGAAGACGTAGAGACAAAGGCCAAGAAGGCCTGAAAACAGATCTGTCCTTAGCACCCTCCAAGGGAACAAACCCCGTTTCCAACATCTAGCTTTCAGTGTTGAGATCAAAAGCCATTTAGGTATATCCCCTCCCCCATACCACATCACCCATTCAGCATACACTGGCTTTGTGCTTGGCTCCGTTGTCTCCTGAGGTTAGTTTCCATTAAGAAGTCCCCATATGGGCTGGGAATGTGGCTTAGAGGTAGAGTGCTTGCCTAGCATGCACGAAGCCTAGGGTTCTATTCCTCAGTACCACATAAAAAGAAATTGCCAGAAGTGGCCGTGTGGCTCAAGTGGTAGAGTACTAGCCTTGAGCAAAAGCAGCTCAGGGACAGTGCCCAGGCCTTGAGTTCAAGCCCCAGGACAGGCCAAAAAAAAAAAAGTCCCAGTGAAAAGCCAAGTGCTGGAATTCATGTCTATAATCACAGCTTGGGAGCTTGAGTTTGAGGCTAGTTTGCTGTCTCGAAGAACATGGAACACCAGAAGGTATTTAAATGTGTACATATTAGCAAAATTACTCACTGTGAAGTCAATGTTTACTTAGCGCCTAGATGGCTGTGCGCAGGTGTCAGCAGCATAGCTGTGAGTCACGTGTTTGTGACGAGAGTTCAACTGAACTAATGTAATGAATCCAAAAACACCTAAGTCTGCCCTCTGACAGCAAAAGAAGACCTCCAGAAAGAAGACAAGCATGGAGCTCTTCTCCAGCTGTGGAAGCAGAGATGTTCTCCAGATGTGGAGGTAGAGGATTCCAGAGGACTGTAAGCAAAGGAAATGTGGAGGGGTGCCGTCCACATTGGCACGTTCTTGGCTACCCAGAAGCAGGATGGCTTCATGCTAGAAACACTGTTCCAACACCAAATTTTCAAGGGTTGCAAATGTCACTCCAAGAGTACAGGAAAGGAGGTCCCACCCTTGGGTCTCCGACCTGGGTCCTCACATTTCAAGGCACAAACCAGCGTTGTTTACTCAGGGGAGATCCCAAGGTGTGACCATCCCAAAGATGACAGTGGTGGCTTACAGTTATGATTTGTCCTGAAGCAATGTTCATCCCACAAACCCGAGTGCAAACTCCCCGCCTCAGGCAGCCCTGGCAGTGTCACCCACGGTCCACCGGGCCTCTTGCTTGCCATGGGCCTCTTGCTTGCCTCTGATATGGTGACCCAGAGCTGGCCAACTCACCTTCCTCTTCCCTCGCTTGGTGCCCCATCTCCTCCCTTTCTTTGAGTCTCTTGACATTGGCCAGTAATAAGAGTTGGGCTTAGGAAGAAAATAAAGATCCTGCTTGTGCTTGGAGCCACGGTTATATGCTCACTCCATCTTGCAAAATTTTAGCTGAGAGCTGGTGGTTCACACTTATAACCCTAACTACTCAGGAGGCGGAGATCTGAGGATCATGGATCAAAGCCAGCCCCAGCAGGAAAGTCCATGAAACTCTTTTTTTTTTTTTGGTCAGTCATGGGGCTTGAACTCTGGGCCTGGGCGCTGTCCCTTAGCTCTTCAGCTCAAGGCTAGTGCTCTAGCACTTAAGCCACAGTGCTACTTCTGGTTTTCTAGTGGTTTATTGGGCGTAAGAGTCTCACAGACTTTCCTGGCCAGGCTGGCTTTGAACCACGATCCTCAGATCTCAGCCTCCTGAGTAGCTAGGATTACAGGTGTGAGCCACCTGTGCATGGCTCCACGAAACTCTTATCTCCAATTAACCACCAGAAAATCAGATGTGGCACTGTGATTCAAAGCAGTAGAATACTAGCTTTGAATAAAAAAACTCAGGGATGGCACCCAGGCCTCACGATGGGTAAAAAACTCTTAAAAATATTTCTGTATTTGATTACTTGGCACTGTGCCTAGACCATAAATGCTATTGAGCCTCCTGGTCTGTGTGTGTCTGTGTATGCATGTATTCTTTAAGAACCTTACAGAGGGCCTTGGATCAAGCCATATAATGAATCCAGCTACCTTCTGCACATTTGAACTTCACTCCCTGTGTACGTATGGGGTAAACGTTTACAGACAGGCAAAAGAGGCCATCAGACCTCTCTGCTTCCCAGAGGCCAGAGTTTCCTAGCACGCATCCATGTTTTGCCTATAAGGAATGCCTTTTGGAGAATGGTTCATCTCAGCCTCTGAGCCCCCAGCTCTGCTATGTTCCTGCTGTCCAGTTCTTCCTGCCGTTGTGTACCTCTGTCCAGTTGTTCATGTCACAAACCCAGTACTTTTGCATTACTGCCACTGTGCAAACCTTCATCCATACATTTATGGGTGAACACTTCACTGCGGAGCCTAGAGGGCTTGTGGAGCCTGAAATAACTCCGAAGGAAAATTAAAGAGGAAACTAGCAGTCTACGCCTGTGTGGAGAAATCTACCCATGATTCAAACTGCATATCTGGGGGGACTTCAGCAACAATCGGCAGACAGAAGGCTGAATTGTTTAACTGATCTAAGATGGGAGATGAGCAGGAGCTCAGTGCTGTTTAGTAAAACCTGGTGAGGGGTAGAACATGGATATTATATGGTCTCTAGCGCCACCTGTTGTCCACCTAGGTGAAGAACTGCTGGCTTCCACCAGCCCCTAGAGAACTAGCCACAGAGGTTGGGACCTGCCTGATTTCAGTGACCTCCAAAGGAAGGCTGAACTGGAGGACAGAGGGGGATGGCCACCCGTGCTCTGCAGCAAGGTACAGCAGATAAAATAGCATCTGCCATGGATAACAGAGAAACAGCCAGCACTGAGGAGGCCACTAAGCAGGGCAGAGCTGGCTTCCAGCCCTCTGAGCAGTTTAGGGCCCATGGTAGCAGGAAGTACACAATGTTTCAGATCTAGACTCTAAGCCCACTATCCATGATTATTTCTATTCTTCTTCCACATTGCTGATTTTCTGATGATTATAAACAGTCATCCTCAGCCGGGCACTGGTGGCTCATGCCTGTAATCCTAGCTCCTCAGGAGACTGGGGTATGAGGATCTTGGCTCAAAACCAGCTCAGGCAGGAAAGTCCATGAGACTCTTATCTCCAATGAACCACCAGAAAACTAGAAGTGGAGCTGTGGCTCAAGTGGTAGAGCGCTAGCCCGAAGCACAAAATTTGCAGGGGACAGCACCTGGGCCCTGAGGTCAAGCCCCACAATTGACAAAAAAAAGGAAAGAAAAAAAAAGTCCATCCTCCTTTCCCACCCATCTCTCTTCCTCTTCCTTTCCCTCTCCCTCTCTTCCTCCTTCCCTAACTGCGGATCGAGCATAGTGCCTCACCGTAACTCCTGTCCTTTGAAGTTTTTTTCAGATCGGGTCTTGCACGAACTTTGCCTGCAATTCTCTGACCTCTGCCTCTCAAGTAGCTGGGATTAGAGGTGGCTTCTCTCTTATTTGTATCTAAAGTATAACAAATCT